AGTTTTTTTTTCTCCTTGGTGCACATAAGAGACTTGATATTGCTTTCAAGGTCCACTCCTGTGCATAGAATTGCTTTCATGGTCAGCTGTTTACCTTTTATCAACACATCCTCTGACAGCAGCAGTGAAAGGCAAAGTCCGTGTTTGCTTCTGGGAAGGCTGTTCACTTTTCTCATGGCTAAATTGCCTGAAGCATTATAGCATCACAGACCTGATTTTTTTTACCTGTTTTTTTTTTTCTGAGTTGTCAGAATACAAGAGATTTTTCAATCATCTTCAAGAAGCAGCTGCTTATAGATAAGGACTGAAAAAATATCCCTTAAGAGTCTTATCATGCCTCATTCCATATGTCACTGTGAAAATGGATCCTTCTTATCATTGCAGATTTACATTAGCCTATTTTTTCTGTTTCTGTTCAACCCTTTAATGTTTCATTTGTTGATGCCATTATCATAGCTCACCGGAGGGCACTTTGCTGCTGTCCCTCAGCCCTTTATCTTCATCTTATATAAGCACTGTACTACACTTCCTTTCCAATGTAATTTTGAAACTGAAAGCTCTGAGCCATTTACATATCCTGTATTGCTTGCGACAGATGAGAAAATAAAATGTATTAATTGCATGCTCTGCAGGTGCTTGTCTTTGTTTTGCAAATAACATTTTGGGACTTTTACGATATCTTTCTGTTGAGTTCTCAAAAAAAGTCAAAGTTGACAGGAAGAGACAACTTGATGTTTGGATAGACCAATATTTTTGTCACTGGTAAGCAAGTAGCAGTTAAAATACATTTAATTTAGACAGGTGCTGCTGTATTCTCATTTTAAGGTATTTGGAGTACTACCATATAAAAAGAAGTGTTTATTGAGGAGCTATTTTGCAGTACTACTGTTGTCTTCGTTTAAGACTTCAACAACCTTAAATGGAACTCTTGAGGTTAACTGAAAACTGAGACATTTACTGATATCCTGCTCTTGTAGCTTATTGTGTTATTTTGCAGCCACTTTGATTCTGGCTTGATTACATGACTGCTGGCTGCTCCTAGAAACCCATCCATCCATCATCTATGTGCTTCACCCAGTACAGGATCGTGGAGCCAGAGCCTGTACTGGCAAGGAGCTGCTCTTGAAGGATATTCACGAGCTGCCGTTTCAGCTTCAAACAATACTTAAGATTATACAGAACTGAGAAGTATTCTGAATAACTGTTTCATTTGTTCTCAAAATGGAATACATCAGCAGGATACAAATTGGAAGTAGAAATATTATATTAATTCCAATGAATATAAGGCATAATGTGTGGCACTGAATCTCAGCTGAAGACTGTGATCATATAACTGACGTACTGTTCATATAATGGTCAGGATGCAAGAATATACCGACATTGGAATTTGTCAGCTTTCATGTTTCAGTGTTGTTTGCCATACATGCGCATTTTAAATCTTATTCATTTACTATGATGAATTAAATACTATATGACTTTTTAACATGATGTATTGTTGTGCAATAAGTATGATTTATTCCCTTTTTTCAGTTGAAATCTGCGTCAAATCATGTACATAACAGAAAACTGATCTCTTACTGTGAGCTAATCAGCTGGTAAAGACCGCTGGTGTGAACAGTTCTGTCAAATATGTACAGGTGTTCAGACCAAGACCTGAAACAACAAGACAGCTTTGCGTTTCTGAAAACAGTCCATGTACAGTACAGTAAGTGATCCTGCCACCAAAACTGAAAAGAGAGGCTGGTGTTTGTGTCTTGTGACCAATTGTGTTCTCTGAAAAGACACGTGTACAATAAGCAAATAAGGAGTGAAATAAAACAAATCACAAAAATAGCACTTGCTCATGTTTTAAGTAAGGAATTTTGTAGTTGTATCAGTTTCTGCCATTGGTATGCTCGCAGCATAAGGTTGTTCACAGGAAGCCTCAGAGATAGTGTATAAGCCTTGAAGTTTTTTTCCATGCACCAGTTCTCATTTACTGCAGCCTCTCGTGTAATTTCAATAATGGGCATCACTGTACATACAGCTCCTCGGGGAATTTTGTTTCCTGGTTCTTGAGCAGTTGGCTGAGTTAAATCTTATCTTGTTTGTAGCAGAACTTTGGGGGGGAAAAGCCATTCATCACACAGAAAAGTCAGCTTTTTGTCTCAAAAGCTTAGATTTTGGAATCTTTTACAGTGGAGGCCACATCCGTTCCTTTGGTTTGAGTCTGTGTGGATGCAAAAAACATTTTAGTTTGGCATGCGCAGCTCTGGTAGATACTGGTATGTGCTATACAGCTCACTCTATACAGAGTGAGGAAGCAATCTATCAAGCTGACACTCATCCATGTTGTTGCATGTACAGTATCAATATCTGAGACCGATTGATAATAAGAATGGTGGTTAACTCTGTCCCAGTGGAATACCATCTGTTTGGCATTGTTTGTGCGCCATGATCTCTTGCTACTTTAGACTTTAGTCATAGACATTTGGGGAAAAACAAATCACTCGTATTAGGATATCATATCAAGCAACAGACTAGTTCTATGGATTACCACAGAATGGCTCTGTTAAAACCTGGACCTGATGCAAATATTTTCTTTTTCCATCCCCTTACTCAGTTTTAACAGTGCATCTATCCCTTTTGTTTCTTTGCTTGCACATTCAGGTGTTCCTAATCTGTACTAGTGCACTCAAAGTTGTGATTAAATAGTTTTTTTTTTTCCCCTTGTCAATGTTTTGCAGAACACACTATCGTGTTAATCATAAACTCAGCTTGCCTCTGTCGGCTGTGCTGAGATCTTGAAATGTCGTGATTAAACCAATTAACATATCCTGGATTATTACATCACATGGGGAATGGTGATGAAATTGAATTTCAGATTTCTGCTGAGGCTTGTGAAGAGTCAGGATGAAGTTAGTCTGTCAGATAAAAATGAGGAACGTTGGGGAATGAAAGGAAAGGGTGATGTATTAAATGAATATTTCACTCAGGTGTTCGCCAAGGAAGGAACAGGCATCATGCCTCAAGCTGAGAAAAGACAAACTCTATATTAAATAATATTAGCATACAGTAGAAGAGGTAGAGATGTTCCAGATTTTAGAAGCACTTAATACGACTCTCTAGGGCCCAATGTTATTCTAGCAATTGTACTTAAGGAAACACGATTTTATTCATGGGCCATTAACAAAGCTCTTCTGGTAGTCTCTCGAGACTGTGGTTATACCCACTGACTGGAATATTGATAAAAATAGTGTTAATCCACAAAAAAGGTGACAAAATCAAACCAAGTGATTTACACACCACTGCGTTTTACTTCTGTTATTTCCAAGGAGATCTGGAAGAATTGGAGCTAAATTGGATAGCCAACAAAAGGTTGGCCTTGCTTAATTAACATTTTGAACAAATAACAGAAGTAACTGCATATGATACAGTATATTTTGATTTTTACAAGGCTTCTGATAAAGTTCCTCATAGCAGATTAATTCTTGTTTTGCAGGCAATTATTCAAAGTCAGGCACAGGTTCAGACTGAGAAGTGGTAAATGCTCCAAGTAGAGTGATTCAATTAGTTACGTACTGCATTACGGTGTCCACAGTTCTTCCTAATACAGTATGTATCAATAATCGAGAGGACCGGATTCAAGTAGTCAGAAACCTCGGAGGTAAATGTTGTCAATTGAAGTGGCGATTCAGAATCACCACTGAATCAAAAACCCAAGCATCCAGGTAGAGACTACAGAGATGTTCTTTGAAAACTGAGAACAGAAAGTTCCTCTTTACAAAAAGGGTTGTGGGAGTGTGGAACAGATTACCCAGCCATGTTGCTGAAGATGCTACACTTACTGTATATCTCTCAAGGAAGGGTGAATGAAAGCCACAGATAAATTGGCTACTAAAACACAGGATAAATGAGCAGACTGGCCTACTCTTGTTTGCATGTTACAGTATGTTTCAAAACAAGTGCCAAAAGAAATACTTTGAGAATTCAAACTGCAGAAAATGCGTTCCTTGTTAATTGTACAAATTAATACAAGTGGTTGGGAAAGTATGATTTCTCACTTAGTTTAAGGTACAAAATAATCTAATCAATGTGTCAGAGAGAATGAGATGAACTTTGCAATTACTTGTGTTTTCATGCATCAATTAACAAGTTCATTTGGTATAACACTTCGGCTGCAAGTTAAAAGAAGGTAAGATTGTTTTGGTAGTTATTTATGTAACTGACACTTTTACATGTAAAATAAATTACAACATTTTGGTACTTTTTTACACATCTGAATTTGCTGAAGCAGAGTACAGCTCACAACCCTCAATTGAAATGTCTTATAAACATAACCGATTGAGAACAGTTGTTTGACAACCTCGTATTTGTGTTTCTGAATTGAAAAGAACAAAACTCTTGTTCTTAAACTCTTAAATGTAGTTTTGTCAACCTTAATTTCATAGTGCTTAATTTAATTGGTAATTTCTCATTAAGATTCTGTTATGCAAATAAAATACTAATTATTGCTTGATAGTGGAAAATGCATCAAGATTACACTCAGTTACAGTAGTTCTCGTAAGAGAAAATTGACTACACATTGTTGCGACAGGAAATGAGTTGGTGGAATACTGGTTCATTATAGACTGTGACTAAACTGGGGATTTCAAAAAGTTTAGTTTTGAAAAATCCAGGCATGCAGATGGCATTTATGTACCTGTTCAGCTGTAATGAGCATACAGTATATGACTCTTATACTGTATGAAACAAACAGGAATGAAGATGTTGAGAGGGTTTTTGTGAAATTTGTACACACTTTTTCTGCTGAAGCTGCAGTATTTTATAAGGTGGTTATTCAGAACTGGTTTGAACTGGAATGGAAGAATGCTGGACACAAGGGCTACTATTATTCTATACTGCGTATAAATGAACGTGTGCTGTCTTTTAAGGGGAAGTGAGTGTTTTTGGATTCCTGACTGTCTTTTAAGGGGAAGTGAGTAAAATTTCTCCAACAAAGATAACTAACAGATGAAACCTCTGAGGCATTATTTCTTAACGTCTGGAAGCTTACAGTATGTAATGTACACTTGTTGGTGCCAGATAACTGGTTAAAAGCAGCATTGCTTATTAAAATAAACCTTTATTTTCAGCATTTCCCAAAGAAGAAATTCCAAATGATTCCTGAAGTATTTCAAGAAAATGGTGAGTATGATCTACTTCCACATTTTTACTTTCATGGCTTTTCTTCTCAGACTCAACACAATGTGTGATCCAAACAGTTCCAGATCATACTGCTTTTGATCTTGATATTCAGTAATTCAGGAGTGTGAAAAACAATTCAATACATGTGCTAAGATGGTTTCACGGATGGATAGATTCAAATGCACAGCTGTAATATGAAAAGACCTTTTGCATATACTGTATACCATACATGCAATATATTTTTATTTGACAAACTGACTCACTGCCTCGGTTGTCAATGGTGAAGCTGACGTTTATAATATTGTATTTTGAGAGCAAAGGTATGCTTTCTGCTCAAATGACATCTCATTTTGTGATTTTATTTGCTTCAGAAAATATCATGTGAAGAACCTCATGTCTCATCAAGCACAGTAGTATCATGAGCACATCGATGCTATGAACAGAACTATGCCATGAGTTTTTGAGAAATGTTTGAAAATTTTGAAAACTCAGCACAGAACACCCCTAAAAACCAGATCCTTTTAAAAGCTTTATAATGGGTAAAATAATTCCAAAATATTTTGTGTGTACATGTGCAACAAGGTGTGAATTACATTATCTTGAGCTTGTGTTTAACCTTTCATGTTTTTCTTGGAAAAAGATGTGCTGTAACTTGAGCCGCTCACAACAGATTTGATCACTTTCCTACTGTATGCTATACAGCACATAAACTTCTGTGCACCTAAATTAGTTCCTTATATGAAGGAAAAGACTTATGTAAGACCTACAGTATCTATGCTTACAGGTTAAAGTGATCTTTTCTTAATAGTTTTTTTTAAACCATTTTGCCTAGACAAATTAGCATTTTTGGCAACTGAATGATTTCATACGTGTTTTATGCTGTACAATAGGCTGATATTTGATCGCAAAGAAGTTTGTGAAGTTTATATTACTAATGTGCACCTGCACTTATCTCATTATGGGTGGCCTCTTGCATTATAAATGACCCTCATCGATATCTCTTGCCTTAGGACATTCTGTACTGTAACCACCTAGGAGGTTTAACAATGTCCATGGTGTAAAAGAAAAAAATATTTTTCCTTTGGAAATTAATACATTTTGAATTGTTTGAATTTAAAAAAAAATCATTAACCTTTAATTTGATAAAATCAAAATCTATACAATAGTTGTACAGACTTTCAGACTGCACAGAATAAAGCCGTTATTAAATACTATGTGTTCATACAGAGCCGTTTCATAATACTGCTGTACAAGGGCAGACACTGCCTGGTTTTAAATCTGGGGCTTTGCTTTGAATGCTTTGAAAAGTGATTGATTTTCCTTGTATTCTAAGAACTCTGCAATTCATCTTCCCAGCGTCGTGAAACATTTTCCACTTTATTTCCTTTGTACAGCTTTGTTCAAAAGCACCATGAGGTGTCTTTGCCCAAACAGATATAAGACATTGAAACTGATATAGTATTTAATAACTTCACAATGGAATATTCTTGGCTTTTGGGTATTTCTTAAAAAAAAATGAAGGACATTTTTCCCTAATAACAAAACTTTTGTTAGGTTATGGTGGTAATAGGATTTGCAAAAATAAATATTAAACAAACCTGAGCTGCAATATCCCAGCCTTGGCACAAAGATTAGTGTAATGTGGAGTGTGCATCAAGAGAATTTGGATTTTGATCACTGCTTATGTTTATATTGCAGTACACGAGCACACATAATTTTTAAAGAACAGCCTGAAGAATCCTCTTGATATAAAATGACTTGAGGGCCACCGATTATAGAAACACAGCCGAAATGGAAATCTTTACACATGAGCAGGTACCCTCTCAGCTTTATAAACCTGTGCCTCATGGCTGCCTCTTTTTAATATTATTCTTTGCTCTCTAAAACACATCAATTTTTGCTATTGATCTGAAAAACGTTCTTATATGAAACTCAGAATGTGATGTTTGGGTTCTACAGTGTGTAAGGGCAGAAAATGTCTTCTTTTACTGTATGAATTAATGTGCAGTGCTCCCAGGTATATTGTTCTGTAGGTCACAGGCCTAGCCAGTGAAAGTAACACAATCTACTTTTTGTGGGGATTTTAATGACATTCTTCCTAAACAATTGGTACCGAATGACATTTTAAACCTTCAGTACCTTTATGGAAGAACAAAACATTGTATACAGTATATTCATTCCCTCGACAATATGAAAATATTTTTCCATCTCATAATTTCAGTTTCTAGATCAATAGCTCATTGTAGTGCAAATGTAATGTTAATTATATTTTAAATAGCGGGAAGATAGATAATCTTCCTGAGGATCAAAGTGAATCCTATGGATGACATCCCTGAGCTATTTTTCAAGTAATGTCTTTCCTAAAGGATCCTGCACTTTTCCTTGATTTTTACATGCCATATTTTCCTGTTTCTGTGAGTGTATCATTGTGACCTATGAGATAACATTGCACTTGGTGTGAGTAATAAGTCTTTACTGTCAAGTGAAAAAAGCTATTATATGAATATCAAGATGTTATAACATAGACCTTCTGTACATGACAGACCAGACTGATAATGGAGCTGAACTCAATGCAGGAACATGCATTTCTGTCCTCTGATTCAAGTAAAAGCAATTTATAACTGAATTCTGAAGTTCTGCAAATCCATCTGTCCTTGTTTATTTCATGGTTATGGTAAAGGATAAGCGCAACATATAAGACCTAGCTAATTGAATTGAGGAATGAACAATATTGACTGCATCAGAAAACTGTTTCCATAGCAATGCCACAATATGCTGTTACACTTGCCTTAACAGTATTGCTTTTAAAGCTTTGTACTTTGAATGTCTCTTGTAGTTCTGAGGCCCAGAGCTAGGTGTAAGGAACTATAGTGTGTGCAGACCGTTTCTAATTTAATTTTAAATGGCTGTCTTATTTTTTTCTTTCTTGGAAAGTTTACAGTATATACATAAATTGTTTTTAGCATTTTGGTGCAGACATTTCTAGAACTGACAATTGTGCAGAGAGTGTTAATAGTGTTTTTGATTATGAATGCCCCATAGGAAATGAAAGCTATGCTTTATCTTTTGTGAAGGACATTACCTCTCTCTGATCATGAGTAATGGAAACTTCTAAGGTGGGTGTTGAGCACTTGTGTATACAAACAGTTATTTTATGATGGTGTGCATGTTGAAGAAAAGACACAGACCCTGGGCCTGGGGCTCTTAGTGCACGTGTCATATTTCTGGAGCTACGAGCAAAGTTTCTGGGATATTTGACTATGGTCTGTTTCGGAGTCTTCGGAGCTTTGGACAAAATATATTGTACAACATGGAAAAGACATTACAGATAAAAAAGCAAGACTTTTTGCTTTGGGGAAACAACCTGTTCCCTTTTTAGGGAGTATGTTTGACATAGAGGTAGAGTAGATTCTTTTTTTGGATAATTAAAGAGGCTTGCAGTTGTTATAAATGGGATTGGGTAACTTGGCTGGGGAATACCACCTCTAGGGTGCCTTCGGGCTTGTAGTGCTGTCGGCAGGGGGCTTGCTTCCCTGCAGCTAGCAGTGAACTTCCTCCTGGAAGTGCCTGTAATGTCTGAAAGGATGAGCCTGGTGCCACGTCTCCATTCTCCCCGTGTGCGGTTGCTGGGTTTGCCGTGAGATGAAACATGAGAAACACAGCTGACAGCTCCCAAATCGGGTGGGTGCACAACAAAATAATTGGAATTGTATTCTCAAAAGAGAGGTGCTTCTCATATGCACAAACTGTGAGTGACATAAGGAAGCTATTCATAAGCGTACCCCTGTGAGCTGTCCTTTTCATCAGTTAAAATGTTTTGTAGTTTGACCTCCAACGCTAAGCTGGTTATTTTTAATGGGGCGAGAATGTTGCTGGACTGTGAGATCAGAAGAACCTTCTCAGATCTTTCCCAGCCTCTCCTCTGTTATTATTTTTTAGTCATTTTCCTTTGACTTTGGGTTTTCTTAGTAATCCCCCCCCCACACACACACACACACACAAACACCACCTCCCCAGTGCCCTTCCATCTCACCTGTAAGTCTTGATAACAGATCTTTCGCTCTGGCTTTCATTATCAGGCAGCCCATCATTCCTCCCAACATCCCATCAAATATTGTTTACAATAGCTGAAGCTGAAACAGAGCTAACAAACCGGAATGGCAGCAGAAAACATCATATCGGCATCAGCAGAACTGTTAGTTAAAATTAAGGTCTTGCAGTCCTGTTTTTTAAAAAAAAGTAAAGGAGCAGAGTGTTCAGCAAAATTGCCAACAAATAATTGAAAGCTGCTGTTGTGATATTTACTAAGTGATATTTACCCAACGGTAAAATACCCAGAAATATCCAGCTTTAGTTTAGATTTCACTTTGCAGCAATGTTAAATCTTCTTTGATTGCCACTTTGTCAACTCCCCACTTAATGCCTTTTCCTAATATAAAATGAAAATGCACTGAAATTCTTTACCGTTTTCACAGTGAAATGGTCTATTTAAATTCCTGGGTGTGAAAATAAACTCTTTAGAAGACTTTTCAGTGTAGACATTTCCTACTGTGATTAATCTCTGAAAGTAAAAGAACGATTCAAGCCTTTTAAAAATGTAATATTGAATGACTTTTTATGTAGCATGATTTTAAAGCAATCACCTCCAATCACTAATTTAAGCCTTTGGCATTTGACTTACCAACAACATTTTTCCAACATTATACGAAAAACAATGCAGTGTTAAATAAACCTGTCAATATGAAGGTTTCAACTCAATAATAAAAATGAGTACTTTAGAATAAGATTTGCCCTATCCTTATTAAAATAAATATGTTTGGCTTTTCTTCCTGTGCTGTTTGGCTTGATAATATAAGCAGTCTAAGTATGGCTAGAAAAATTCAGCTCAATTTACATTGTATTTTTGTAATATGAGTGTGGTGGCAAGGAAATGGTTTTGTGGGTTTAGTGGGTAATAAGTTTTAAGATAATAATGTAATAATGTTTCTTTATTAGCCCTATACAATTTCTTGCATTAGGAATTCGTCTTTTCGCATACCCCAGCTTTTTCTCCATGGAAACACAGACACACAGACAGGGAGAGAAGCTAGGGGTCAGAGCGCAGGGTCTCCCATTGTACGGCGCCCCTGGAGCAGTTGGGGTTAAGGGCCTTGCTCAGGGGCCCTACAGAGTAGGATTCCTCTGCCGGCCGCGGGATTTGAACCGGCAACCTTCCAGTCGCAGGCGCAGATCCTTAGCCACAGCTACAATTAAAAAAATATATTTTTGGGAAGAAAGGGCTTAGGCCTCTAAGAAAGTCAATGCAAAGAAACAAATTCAACACAATTAGTACTGAGAATGTGAAAAAATAATGAGAGTGTGTATTAACACTAACAGTTTTGGAGCTTGGATACACGTGGTGACACAGTGCTTAGCATTGCTGCCTTGCAGCGCTGGGGCCCTGGGCTCAGTTCCTGGGGTGCTGTCTGTGTGCAGTTTGCATGATCTCCCCTTGTTCATGTAATATACAGTACCAAGATACACAGCTGTTTTCACAATCTGGGAAAAAACAGTTTTCACAATCTGGTTGGGCACATATCCTACTTTATGGGTACAGATATTAAACATTTTCTTGGAAAAATGGCCCTGATGTGAGTTGTACTGTATATATAGTATTAATATTATTGAAAAGAATTAAAGACTTTAACCAGACTTGTGCCAATGTTGAGATTTTCATTCTTTTGGCCTTTTTGATTAACTGTTCCTACTTAAGTGCAAAATTTTCAATTTTTGAAATAAGCTCATGACAACCAACCATCGATTAGTCCTAGAACGGTCGGTCGGTCCTGATATACTGCACATGTTTGTGTCTGAGTGCACCTTGGGATGTGCAGGCATTCCGTCCAGGATGTACCCTGCCTTGTGCCTGTTGCTTGCTGGAACAGCTCTGCTCCCCAGTGACCCTGTACTAGATAAAGTGGTTAGAAGATGAATGGATGAGGACGTAATGACACAGGGTCTTTCTATGACTAAATAATAATAATTGCTTACACTTATATAGCGCTTTTCTGTACACTCCACTCACCTGTAAAGCGCTTTACAGGTAATGGGGACTCCCCTCCACCACCACCAATGTGCAGCCCCACCTGGATGATGCGACAGCAGCCATAGTGCGCCAGAACGCTCCCCACACACCAGCACTTAAGACCTTCTAAATGTTTGACTCATCAGGGTTCATAAACTGTGATCTGAGGTCTCAGCTGAAATCGCCTTTTCCACTGACTGAAGTGGGAAATGTTTAAAATTTTAAACATTTTAGTTGTAAGATGACACCTTCAGCACAATTTTAAGTATTGCTGCAGTTCTAAGGCTCTTTGGGGACTCGTGTCATGCTATCTTTCACGCTTAGTTCCTATCCAATCTTTTGCTACTGAGCTCAAAGGCTGCAAATCCTCTCCTGACAACTATAAAAAATTGTGTTTATTTATGCATCTCAGTATTTCTGAAGGTCTAGTTTGCATTCATCTTTATTTTCTTTTACATTCTCTCTTGGTCATTTTAAAATACAAGGATATGTATATATACAGTGTGATGTATACATACTGTATTATGTACAGTACAGTATGTAAATATACTGTTAATAACAACCTTATTTTCTTTTAGATTTTTTAATGAATTAAGGATTATCTCACTGTTTTCTTTTCATTTCCGTGTTAAGTCTTGCTTGTTAACTTTAGTTAATGTTTCCTTCGTGATCCAGCCTTCTTGATAACTTGTAATTTAAGTTAGCTTGAAAGTTGACTGAAATGGAAATTAACTTACAATAATGAGTTGCAAAACTGTAGAGTTCCCCCTGCCACTAAGCACCGTCTGCACGCTTGATCTTACTTAGTAAATACATTTATTTTTCATATTTTTTTTCAGATGTTTGATATTTATCTGACTTACTGCTAAATTGCAGGGATGAAAGGATGTTGGGAAACTACAGACTGAGGTACTGTATTCAATAATTGTTCCAACTGTTTGTGCCTTGGGGCAACCTTGTTGTGAAAGGTGCTATATAAAAATAAATTGATTTGAATCAGTATGTGTGGAGTTTACAGTCAAAGCACTAAGAATACCAAAAAGAGGTGAAGTGATACTTCATGTGGTTTGTATTCAAAGGTCTTCTCCATCTATCCGTTTTTGGTAACAACTTCATTCGAATATTGAGTCATGGTGAACCAGAACCTAACCCAACAAACACTGGGCACAAGGCAGGACTCGCCCCTAATGGGGTGAAATTTCTGGGAGTTAACATCTCAGAGGACTTAACCTGGACCCACCACACCAACATCGTGGTCAAAACAGCACGGCAGCGCCTCTGTTCTTTCTCTGCAGGTTAAAGAAGTTTAGCATGCCGTCACATATTCAGGCCAGCTTCTACAGGTGCTCTGTTGAGAGTATCCTGTCTGGCTACATCACTGCCTGGTATGGGAACTGCTCCACCCGGGATCGCAAAGTACCGCAGAGGGTGGTGAAATCGGCACTGCTCCTCACCGGCTGTGTGCTACCAGACATCGAGGATATCTACTCTGTTAGAAGCCTCAAGAAAGCCAGGTCAATACTCAAGGACCTCAGTCACCCAAACCACAATCTGTTTTCCCTACTACCGCCTGGAAAATAATACCGAAGCCTACAGACAAAGACCAGCCGATTTCAAAACAGCTTTTTCCCTAGGGCAATAAGACTGCTGAACAGCCAGATACAGCAGATACCAGCAATTACCCAAACGACCGCTGATAAATAGTCAGTCCACTGCATTTTTTTCTCGCCTGCCCCTTTTTTTAATATTGCATAATCTTGTTAAATGTTAATGTATAATTTATTGTATTCATCTTGTAACCTTCTATCAAGTTCTGTCCTATCTCTCCTTAGCGAGCTTGTGGAAAATGGATTTCACTGCCCACAACCACCTCTGTATGCTGTATTGTTTTGCATTGATAAATAAATCTTGATCGATTGACAAGAAAAAAGGACAAATACAGCAAATAGCTATTGCTCTATCAAAACCAATAAAGAAGCTCTGTGCTTTCCTCCCAAAATATTGAGATACAAAGTGCATCTACAGTACATAGTACTGTATCTTTGAACTATTTTGTTTAAATTTAAAGACAAAAAGAGTAAGGATCATAATCATGAACGATTATTTCAAAATAATTTAAAGGTCAGTTTATAAACTAAAACCCAAAAACCTCCTAGAAATCTGAGCCTTGCTGGTACATCACAAGCTTTTTCATCATCAAGTTATTTGGTTTTCATTAAATGAATTCTTGATGTCAGTTGGTATTAACTCTTGTTGAGAAAAACAAAAGTGTATTTAATACTGTATAGTATACAGCTTGAGAACAATTTCAAGGTGCAAGACAACAGTTTACTGTTCCTCAGTAACCCCTTGCATTAGGTTTTATCTAGCACTATATTGAATATCCTTTAACAGTTGCCCTTAGAATTCAAAGCATTCACTATGAATTACAGGACCCCTGGGTTATGGAAATAATTGAATTGGAAGTCTTCTGGAAATCTTTAATACCAAATTTCTTAATACCTTTTTAAATGTCAGGATGCAGTGGTGTCAAAATAGTGTATTCAGAGCAGTGAGGCCTGATTTATTTAAAGTGAAAGTTGAGCTAATGTATTTTACAAATGAAACATGACATCTCTGCTACATTTGCAGTTAAACTCTTCACTTTGTTCCTGAATGATTAATGCACTAAGACTTGTGACCACATACACATACAAAACAAACAGGGTCTGTATTTAGTCAACGCATGTAGGTGGATATTTTGCTAATCACAAGAGCAAATTGTCATACATTTGATATAGTTCCAGATTTATTTTCACCCTAATTAACTAAATCGCAACAGTTCTGTATACACACACATTAATACTGCTTTCCAATGACTTCCACAGATTGAGAACTGGAACCAGATGAAATGATTTTTTATTTCACTACTTGTATACTCTTTCCATTCCCCGGAAATTAAATACCTCAAGACCACAAACCAGCAAGGCATTCAGTAGAAGTCAGTCCAATGTGACCTTGCTGTGTTCTAATAAAATGAAATAAAGTTTATTGACTCTGAAATGCCACTAACTAATTAATTCTATTCAGCTTAAGAATGGCTTCTGGGCCTTTTAATGGTACATGAAAGTTACTAGTTGCCCGTGTTGGGATCTTTATCCAATGTAAAACGCAATAAATATTAAATGCAAGTACAAAAGGAGAAAAAGAACTAGTCCAATAATCCCTGTATAGGAAACACACTGTAAGGGCAGCACAGTACATCAAAGAAAACGTGCCCAACAATTGCAGGCATATACACATTCAGTAGCACAGAATGAAAACAGTACTGTAGATATTGTAACTAGGTAGAATGTGAAGAAGATGAAAGCTGGAAGAATACGTTTTGAGTGAATATAGTCATAACGTCAACCATCTTAACTGGTTAAGTATTAAATACACTTACTGCATACTTAAGGATGTAGTTCAGAGCTGAGAGGTTACAGGTACTATCTAAGCAGCGCCAGAAAGTGCTCGGGGTCTAAACATTCCTGGTTTCTGCAGGTACTGTAGTTTCATTCTGCTTCCGAGGAGCAAGAGAATTAACTGACTCTGGGAATGAGGGAGGGGAGCGATGGGACAGATGATCAGGAGGGCAACAAGGATCACAGGCAGGAATAAGAAGCAGAAGAAGTGTGTTTGAGACCATATTTAAGGTGATTTGATTTGCCATCAATTAATTTACTGCTTATTTTGACTATTTTTCCCAGCATATTACAATCAATGGTACTGGTGTTACCAAACCAGCCATTTCTGACCAAAAACATTATAATTACTTAAAATCCTTTTACAGAGGTTTTTTTATAGTTCATGCCCAGCCAAGTTCACCCTATGTTATTACCATGATGGGGATTTTATGGCCTAGTTGCTATTCCTGTTGATGTTATCCTTTCAGCTATTTCTGAAGTATCACATACAACAGCAGGTGTCTGTTTAAAATTCCCTCACGCCAGGTCAGGAGTAATGACCCCAGGCCAGAGTCAGATTTCTATACTTTCTGGGATCGGATCCAGCTTCCCTGCGACCCTGAATTTGATGAAGCGGTTAGAAAATTAATGGATGGATGACAGCTCAAAAGAACTTGGTAAAAATAATTTAAGGCCTTACTCAGGGAAGACTGTGAGTGGACCCGATTCAAGTACTTTTTGTGAAACCTTTTCCAACATACATTATTTCTACAGTGTTTGCTGTTTGTTCTTCAGCAGAAGTGGGAAGGTGTTCCTACTGTATACTGTATGTCAACAGAGTAGCTTCCTAAAGTTAACTATAAGTACAGCACAAATGTAGTTCACTGTGGTATTATGGCCCTTGTACTTTCTGCGAAGAAAAATGATGTTTGTATTTCTGCACTCCAAAAATGCTTTATTTTCATTTTTCGGGTTATTGATTGGTAATAAATTGTACTGCTCAGACTTTAAATTTGTTAAATTTTGACAATGTTTCCTTCTTTACAGATTTTAATGTCCTTTACAGAAGGATTTTACAAATGTGTACAAATAATGTAAAATTAAGATGTTGCAATTTTATCACTGGATGGGCAAACATTGCTTTAGAAAACATAATTAAATGCTAAAGAGTATGAGTCCTCTTGACTCAAGTTAATAACATTGTTGACATTTGCTCTTATACTGTATGTACAGTAGATTTTTCCACAGAATGAAACTGATTGTTCCCCCCACTTAAAAATGTTATATTGTCATGTGCTGCTTAATAGGATTATTTGCTTTAAAATGCAAAATAAATATCTAGACTGATAGTTTTTAAAAATTAAATTAGTCATTAGTAATTCATTTTTTAAATTAGGATAAGAAACTTTTGATTGTAGTGCATTTGAATGTTTGGAGATGCGGCTGATTTCAGCATACAGTGTATATATAGATCATTAAATATCACAATTAAGCACTTGAATCGGAACAAACTGTCTGTTTTCACTGCTTTAAAGTTCACTGAAGCTCGAAATATCTGCACTTGATTCCAGATTTAGCTTCAGGTATTGAGCTATCCATTCCTTTTTCCTTACCTCAGAAAACACTTTTATTGGAAGAAACTGGCAAGCCACGTCAATGAACCAACATAATTTATCATTCAATTAACCTAAAGAATGTGTGAACTCTAATTTAAAATGCCTTAAACCCCAGTACTTGGTTGTCATGTATTTGCAAGTGTCTCATGAGAAATTAAGCCAAGTCATAAGTGTTAATGCTCTCACACTGCAAATTTATCACTTTAACAACAGTGCTCCAAAGCAGACACCTCGTAATAGAATGACAGGATTATCTTGATCTGAGACAATTGCCAATTTACAAGTTTGCTGTTATTTTTCTGTGCTTTTACATTAAAATTGGCCCTAGGTAAAATTGTCAGGGCACACACAGACACAACATGCGTACCTTCACACTAGAGCCACTTTCCCAGAATCGAATGAACCCATGGTGCACTGGGAATCGAACCCAGGGCCACAGCTCTGGGAGGCAGCAAGCCTCACCCCTGCACCCCCGCGCAGCCCGCTTGATTCGTCTCACTTCTTAAAAACAATGTTCGGTGCACAAGATAATTTTTTTTCTCTCAAGATTGTTTGTAGTGAGAAGGGTGATTTTAATATTGAGATCTCCATGAAGTAACCTTTTTGTTTGAAGTGTTCACAACACTTTTGTTATTCATCAAGTGTACCATCTACAATGATGCTCTTGAGAACGGGAGGAATAAGAACATTAATAAGAGCTAGGGTGCTATGGGGTGCACAGTTAATTTCATCTCCAGTAACAGACTCATACTGAGTAAGAGCAGTGCATAGTGGAATCAATATTTAATTTGTCAATCTTAAGGATGTTTTAAGATTTTTTGACTTCCTGCTTTAACATACTCCACCTGATGATTGTTTTGCTTTGTTTGTTGACTTTCATTTTAAGAGAAAGTAACTTAAAGCAAAAATATTTTTAAAAGTTTGCTATTAAAATGCAATTTGAATCAAACATACTGTCAACCACTTTAGAATTTCAGAAACCCTTGTGTGCCTCAACAATATCAGAGACAATACAAGCGAGCAGCGGTACATTCATTTTGCAAAAAGAATCTTGTTCCTTTGTACTGTACGTTGACAGTGTCAGAGTTTTTTACATTTGCTGCAATGTATTAAATTAGAATTCTAAACAGCAAACCATTGAGAAAGCCCTGTGACATGTACTGTATTGTATGTAACCCAGGCATGTATGTGCACTTTCTAATAGTCCTCCCCTCCTGGTCTTAATAATCCTAAATTCAAAACCAGCAGCTTTGTCTTCCAAGATGTATTTATAACAGAAATGGTATTTGACCATGTAGCAGTATCCTGTGTTCCTATCGTGGTGCAACTACAAGTCTTTTTCAACCAGCGCAATGATTTGTTTAATAAACTACCAGTATATTTGGGTTTAATTATTAAATATTAAATCTTTTTCTTAACACATGTGACCCCATTTAAAAAGTAAGCTGTATGATTTGTTAATGTTGGCCATCTTAGCTTAATGGATCACATTATGGTTTACGACCTAAGGTTCTCCTCTGACAATTACCGCACCACAGTCCCAAAATTTCTGTGAAACCCATCCAGTACTTGTGAAGGAAATGCAATGTTTTATAAACTCAATTAAGTTTACTGTATAAAACTTAAAATGTACAGTAATGTCACAAACTGCCAAACAATGAACTGATCATCTTCAATCCCTTTTCTTGAGTACCTCACTGTATTAAGATTCTATGCGTTTCTACAGTATATACAGTTTACAATACATAAAATATGCAAGATGAATTAACATTAAGTACTATTTTCTTTCATTAAGTTTGGGTCTCTTGTTCATTTAATTCTTAATTTTTTTATGTAATTCATCTGTGGCCCCTATGTGATGTGATGTTTTGACTCCCAACAGACCTTTTATTAAATGTGATTCCGAGCTTAACCACAAAACGATAAGCCTTTTTACTAATTGGCTGCATATTTACCAACAAATGTAGGCTTCAAGCAGCATGTGAAATGACAACTGTCTTAACAGCTGTTTTCCTCATCAACAGAAACCTTTTATGTTGTTTTTTTCGGTTTGTTTTTTCTATATCAATTTGTAAAAAAAAAATCGATCTACAAGTGTCGTATATACAGTACTTACTGCACACCCATTTTGTTGTGACTGTAGAGAGATACAAATTTGAACTCCTTACACTCTTTTCTGTAGGTTTTGTTTGTAGCACCATAGCTAATGGTAAACAGGAGTTGCTCAAGGACCAAACATCACCTTTATTACTACCATGAATTCAAATGCATCTGCATAATTCAGAGGACACAGGGGGATTTGCAATTCACAGACAAACCAGTGCTTCTTCATCTGCAGCCCTTTTTTTTGGTCTCTTGATTTGCACATAACCCTTGGCAAAGAAACAAGGCTGCAGGCTGCTTTTGGCCATTGAATCCCATCGCCTGGTTGCATTTCAAGATAACTGCTGCAGAAAACATAAGTAGAAAAGCGTCCAATTAAAATTATCTGGCACAGGAGTAAATCTACTAATTGCTGAAAATTCACCAGAACCAGCTTGCCTGTTTTTAAGCTACAGATTTGTGCATATTTAAAAAGCTGTCTTCTCTGATCAGATAAGGGAAAGGATCTGTTGGCTCTGTCTGTACGGGGGTTTACATTGAATTCCCCTTCTGGATGAGATTGAATACTTAGCTGTAACATCTTCAAAACATGATTATAAATATCGTGTTTTTAAATCAGTGCCCACTCCTACACGGCGCAGGATGATCCACAATGTACCCTGCAGTTTGTGAAAGATTTAAAAAAGTGGAGGGAGGAAAGAAAGAGAAATGATGAAAAAGGTTGTTTTTTTTTTTTTGTTAAGCGGTCACATGATAGTATTCCTCTACTTGCACTGCACTACATGTACTGTGAGTAGAGGGATGCTTTCAATAGTATATAACATAGAATAAATGTGCATTCTGTGTTACAATATATACGTTACTATGCTATTAAATGCTGGGTGAGGATGTAATAATGATAAAAATATTCAGTCCTCAAGTATTGCCGCCTTATCTTAATTTTATCCACTTAAATGACAATACATGGTGCTTGTTAATCTAAGTTTATTCCACACTCATTTTCCCTTGCAAGCTTACTTCATTTGAGTAATTTAAATGATTGAAAGACAGTTTGTGGAAACTTGTTTCTGCTGTTCTACAGACTAGAGAATACTAGACAATAGAAATTAATTACAAAATGGGTTCAGTTGAATTTTTATACATTCGGAAAGGACATCAATTATAATTATGACTATCAAATGACTAGTCTCTTTAAAATTCAAGACACACATCCACTCCTACTGCATTTGTGTACTATACCTACTATATTTTTGTTTTTTTAATCCCATAAGGTGAATATCTGAATCAGTAGTGACTGTCTTATCTTACATATATTTTTTCACGTCTAATGATGTCACAAAGACTCACACAAAAGGAATGAATGACTGAATTCAATTAAAGAATATAACCTGAATTAAGCTATACAGGGTATACCAATAAATATTTCACTTTTTCTATATATTTTCATTTCCCTCTAGAACACCTTACTGTTAGAGAAGTAAAAGTATAAACGGCTGTATATGAGACCTACTGTAGAAGACTAACTCATGACTCAACAGTCCAGTATCCCTGAACATAGCCAGAAAGATACACTGTATACAGTACACTGCTCTTGTCCCCATATTCAAGAAATCATTGTCCTGAAATCAGTTTGACTTAGTCAAATCAAGGGGCTGATAGCTCAGCACTAAACAAGTGGATCCAAGCAGACAAATGGGAATGAAGATCAGGGGAACGGGAGAATGACAATGGGAGAAACGAAGTAGGGACTTGTAAGAAATCCCAAACAGGTGCATGTAACATTTGTTTCCAGAAATTTCTAGATGAGTCTGGGGGCTTTAGCTACTGTATAGTATTAGCATCTAAATGAAAAAATGGAATAATGATTGTGATCTTTGTTATGCTCTTTTTGGCACAAAGACTAAATCCGAGTATATTGATAAATTCTGTATGTTTTCACGGCTAGGGGAGGTACTGTAATAGAGTACAATGGTGCAGTATAGTGTCATAGGATTTTCTTGTTTCTTTGGTTCTAATGTTTTCCCTGCTAATGCAGGTCAGGACCAGTGGTTTGTCACTTGGATATATTCTTCTGGCTTTACTCAGTGTCATAAAGACCCAAAGGTAGATTAAATCAAGCTTTAACTACAATAAGTGAGAAGAAAGAAGACATATTGTACTTCAGCGTAATGGGATTCCTAAGTGTATACAATTTATTTCAACAGCAAGTACTGAACTAAAGATACAGTACATTGTAAATTTAAAATAAAAAACTTTACTGATGCTTAATTTGTAGGACTATTTGCAGATCCACAGTTTGTACTTACTGTACAAACTTCAACATGTAACATGATTGTGGAACATCTTGCACAAATTGAATAGAATTCCTAAGCTCTGTTATGGGGTTCAGATTTTGTCATTGTAATCTTTCTTCTTCCAACAGAAGTCTGAAAATGACTGTACGTTGTTATCCGTTCTAGTTGTTCCTGAAAACAGAGAGAAATCCAACAGAATTCCTGTATGTATTTACAGTACCTCAATATTGTTTTTGTAGTGTGTCCTTCACCTTCATGACTAAAAGGGCTTAAGGTAATGGCGTTATAATGGTTAATAGTTTTGTGTGGGTAAATACATTGTGGCTTTCTGATCTGATTAATGTACTAATTAAGACAGAAGAAACTTGCATCCCTAGGGCAAGTTCTGAGGCAAGGCTAATTAAATTGCAAAGGCATGAGTGATCCAAAGTCTG